TTAAATAAGAGAGAGAAAAAAGATATTATGCATTTTGCTTTTTTATTTCTCCGCGTTGAAGGCTTGGTAAAGGAAGAAAGGAAATAAAAAGGAGGAAAGATTTTATAATCAAACGAATATTGTCGATGATAAACTTCTTTTAACAAGCTCTACAAACTGTCGGATTTTTCCTCTGACCTTTCTCGGTCTAACTTCGCAATCGAAGCAAATTATATTGCAAATCAACGTCGCGAAAGATACACGCGAATGCATTATTAAGCGCGGAATCGTCCTATTAATACCGCTTCGAGATTCCAGATCGATATGAAACGAATAAACGCATCCTCTTGAAACACGGATTATTTGTCAGCGTGCACAGGATGCCTCATCTCAACTATCGTGCTCGCATACCTTGAAACCTATTGGACGTGGAGAGAAAAATGGTACAAAGGAAAGGTGACGCGTTCTCCGGAGAATATTACGCGATCGAATTAGCATTACTCTTCAAGGAGGTCCTGCCCCTTGCGATATATTTCTTTTGCATGTTGTATAGCTACTGCTCTTTGTATGTATAAAAAAAAGCTGAGAATAATATGGACATAAGAATTGATTCTAACAGGATGCCATTAATATAATGGTGTCATCAAAAAATTGCTTTTTATCAAATTAGTAGCACTATATTAAATTTAAGTAGTCCGAGAAGTATATTGATCGCTCAAGACACACAATTCACGACTGAAATAGCGCAAGTATCATTTCGTCGAGCGCTCGTACTTATTAAGTTTTCTTGTTACTTTCTGAAATTTAATTTTTTTCACTAAATGTGCATTAATATGAATGACAAATAACATCAAAATTAATTAAGAGTTGATATTAACATTATTAACTTAATATTATTCTCCTCTTGGTATTTTTTTTATTTATCCTTGATATTTTTTATTAATCCAATTCATCTATTGATTCTATTAATGTAAATTAAATGATTGTACTAAAGCAAATTTTTTTCTTAATATACAGCTCGTGCGTTTTTTGTTATTGAGTTGAAACATATTGTGATTCAAATAATCGATAATTGTCATGCTCGATGCATAAAATTAATCTTACCGTTAATAAAGGCGAATCACCGCTGGACGTTGAATTGTCTCGTGAAACTATTCGACAAAATATCACAGAGGATCTCGGTTGGTCCGCAGAATCGTTGGTCGCTGAAATCTGCGCGCGCGGCGTGATCAGGAATGCTTAAAAACACACACAAAAATATAAATATCTTTGCAAATCAAATTGATTAAAAAAAAAAAAAAAAAAGGAAAAATTTATTCAATTTTCTCCTTTACGTAAATCAATTTGACTTGCAAAACAAATTTGAAATAATGACAATATAAATTAATAAAATGTTACGGAAAATGTAAATGTACGTGTTATTACAAATATATATTCTACAATTATTCGCAAGAAAATAAAGTGTATTTCCACAGTATTAGGATTTAGTGAGTATCCTTATTCGTTGCTTGGCAACGAAAGCGCGATATACACACTACCGAGTCGATAGTTCATATACATTCCACATTTTTAAGGAAATCTTATGGATAAATAATTTTCTCAATTTTCTTTTAAATATATAAATTTTTCTCAGATACATAAATTTCTGCGAATCAAAGAAAAATTACAACATTACCGAAGACTTAAAAAAGACTTTGGAAACATTGTGTTTTAAATATTTCAAATGATAAACGAGCGTTTCGTCGCGTTCTCTGTAAAAACACCCTTACATTTCATCCCTGTTTTCGCCACCTAATCCGCTTGAGTCTGAAATCTCGTTAGGCGGAAGAAAAGTTAATTTTACTACTTCGATAAATAAATTGATCTCCGTACCGAGGGAATTGAAAGCGTGACTGATCCACTGACTTTCCCGGAGTAGGTGCAATGTACTCGGGGTGAAGTCCTCGCCTCCTCGCGGGGTTATCGACCCCGCACCGGGTCGTGTGGGCAGTGAGTAGAGGCGCGCGAGGATCCCGAAGAACGACACGCGGGGTGCCCGCCGCGGCGGGATCGCGACGCGCGACTCCGAGACGCGGACGCGTGGGTGGGACGGCGCTCGGCGGCCTCCGCCGAGCAACGGGGCTGGGTGGACACTGACGAGAGCGCGGCGCGATCCCAGCGACGGCGCGGCAGTGGGCCGCGGCCGCGACCGACCCGGCGCGACACAGATTCCGTTCCGCGCAACCACCCTCCCGCACACACCTCGCCCTCGCGAGGACGTAAGGTAAATGCACGGACGGCCGTATATCTGACGCGAAAAGTTTGGCAACCTGTGGTGCGGACTCCCCCGTCCGCGAGGAAGAGACCCGCGCGCCGAGGGGTATCTCGGAAACCGGCCTCCTCGCTCCTCTCCTCGCCCTGACCGAATCCGCGAAACGACTCGCGCGAAACTATCCTCGTCGTAGCTTTTCCGAAGCGTGAAGTGACCAGCTTCTGGAGATGAAACAAACTTAGAAGCGCTCGTCCGGTTATATCAATTTTGGCAAGCAAGAAGTATCGCTGGTCTGTGTGTCGTAATGTATGAACATGTAACATAATGTATATACATGAAATAGTGCAAAAAAAAAATTAATTGAATAAAATAACGTATACGAGGTAACTAGATATCTATCGAAATTACGTACATGTTTCATCGAGATATTTTTAATTAAACAAACCGTGTAGTAATACCGGGCACGTGCCCGAGTTCGCACAAAGCTCGGGCTATTCCATACTTTTGCTTGAAGATTCCACGAACTCTAATCTCTGCAGTTTTAAGGCTGCTTTCAGGGACAGTAAATATATCTGAGAACTTGTAAATATGTTCAGTCTAGAAATATATAGCGTTACCCTTTCATCACACGCGAGTTTCTCTGAACAGAAAAATAAAGTATATTATATATAAACTAAATCTTTTTCAAATTTTTTTCTTTAATCTTTTTTATTAAATGCTTCATTCAAATATTTTTATAATACTCTTTTTGATACATCATTTAATATAGAAAATAAGCTATTTTAAATTTTTGTACTATAATAATATGTACTTTGTATTAAATAGAAAAACACAACACATTTTGTACATTTGAGTAACTTTCTTTTCTCTTCTTTTAATAAGGTGAAAATATAGATAAATTATCTCACTTTCTTTCTCATTGTTCATCCTCAATTACAGCTTTATATTGCAATTTCCATTTCTTTATAGAGCAACCGTATGTCTGCAATCACATATTTATCATACAACATTAATGTATTATTGTGCTCCATTTATAATAGAAGACAATTCTATCGAATATTAAAATTTGTTTAAATTTTAATCACTTAAAAAAAAATTAAAAATAAAATAAAAACAATTTCAATAAGCAATAAGAATTAATCTTTTCCTAATACTTATAATACGAATAATATATTTAATCTTTATTATATAATATATATATATATATATATATATATATATAAAATATATGTAACTAATATTTGTATAAACACAAATGTAAAAATAATCGAGCACACACTTTTATCTGTTTTTAAAAATCAGAATTATACACGTACGTACGTAAAGAAAATTATAAAGAAGTCAAAGAATCTGCAATTTTTGCGTTATTTATAAGTATGATACTCTGACCAACTGAGTTAATAAATCATTAATAAGGTTTCAAAGAGAAACATGTAATAACCAAATCATATTTTTATTAATCTCGACTTGCTTTTATCCAAAATTTTTAATCTTTCATGT